AAAATTTCACTGACTGCCTGTAGGTCAGATCCGTCTCGCTTGCGGCCTCAAGCACAGGAAACGTCCTGGCAACGCCTTGGCTTTGCTTCGTTTTCTCTGCTCAGCTGGGCCTGCATAGACCAAGCGGCGGCAGAGGTGTGACAAAGGCGACAGCGCAAGGTGCATCAACAGACTTGGCACAAGGATTGGCTGCGAAAGCCAGTGCAAAACCTTCTGGACCTTCTGTCTTGAGCTGGAGCTGCTTCCAATCGATGTGGGAGGTTCCCAAAATTACGGGGTACCTTTGCTTCGCAAACAGCTGCGACCTCCTTCAAACGGAGCTTCGAAGAGGCTACCTCGGAGTCTTCCTCCCAGTGCGTCTGGAAAAAGGGTACCTTTGGGGGCCCTTATAATAAGCCTTTCCAGACCCCCGGGAGGATCTAGAAAGTAGATCCCCTAATTTGGGGCCCTATACTACTAAGGGTACTTTATGGGAACCTCCATTTAAGGGATCTACTTTTTGGATCCTTTCGGGGGTCTGGGTTGTGGCACTGCCGACTCTGTCGGTGTCACCTGCAAAATCCAGCAACGTAGGACGAAGCAATTTAGAAAGGCTAAACCCTAAACCCTAAACCCTAAACCCAGGGTTACCAGGTTTAGGGCCTAGGGATTCGGAGACAGGCTCTGGGTCTCTCAACTACCCTTTTAAAGGGAACTCCAGAAAGTTGGAATATGGTTTCAGGGTAGGATACCTTATAATTTACCATAGAGGGCTTAGGATAATCATATTCCAACTTTCTGGCTTCTACTGTACTGTCCAACAAACAGAAAACAGCTTTGCCTTGATCCTTCTATGTTGCGAGCGCCCTGATATTCCAGACCTTAAGAAGCCTGAGAGCCTCTAAACCTTACCCAGGGGCCCCAAAGTAGTTCCTTTTTGGGTGTGTCCTCTCTTTTGGTTAGGGACTTTAATATACTACCTAAAAGGAACTACTTTAGGGCCCCTGGGTAGTTACAATGCCGGAACCCTAAATCCTAAACTCTCCGTGCGAAACACTGAACCCTAAACCCTGCCGCAGGATACCTTTCTGAGAACTCTAAACCCTAAACCCTAGCCATTCTTAGAACTCGAAACCCTAAACCCGAACCGTTCTGAAAACTCTCTTCCCTAGACCCTGACCCGTACACCCTAAACCCTAACCATTCTGTACACCCCTAACCCTTCATTTCCTAAACCCTAACCCTTCATTCCCGCAATCCTAAACCCCAAATACCCCAACGCTAGGAAAGAATTTCCTAAACCCAACCCTTCACTCCCCAAATCCTGAACCCTACTTGGAGGTTCGTGGTTAGTTATAAGTGGGGTTATAAGTCCCCTAATAAGGGTTATAAGTACAGTTACCTTTCTTATAACCCCACTTATAACTACCCATGAACCTTCAAGTAGACCCTAAACCCTGTACCCCTATAGAATCCCTATAGATCCCTGTTTCAAGGGACAGTTAACGGAACCCTTAAGGTAAATATCCCCAAAGTTGAAAGACAGAGGGATCCTGCAGCTGTCCAAACTGCTCCTCCAGCTCAGCTGTGAGGTCTCCTGGGCGTCGGGCCAGGGTTCTCAGAAAGGGTTTAGGGTTTGTTAGGAGATTGGGCTCAGGGTTGAAGGTTTAGGGTTTATGGTGTAGGGTTTGTTAGGAGATTGGGCTCAGGGTTTAAGGTTTAGGGTTTATGGTGTAGGGTTTGTTAGGAGATTGGGCTCAGGGTTTAAGGTTTAGGGTTTATGGTTTAGGGTTTACTAGGGTTTGTTAGGAGTTAGGGTTTGGGGAGGACAGGAAGACAAAGCTCACCCCCTCTCCAGCCTCCCACGCTTCAACCCCTCAAACCTCACACCCCATTTACCCCGGAATCCTTTGACTACACGAAAATCATACTATAAAGATACTTGAGTTTATCATAATTTCTCAAGAATACTGAAACCTACCCAAAGCCTGACCTACCCCTGAATGAATAGTTCCTTTAGGAACGTCTCGTACTAACTACGTGGTACTGGGCACGCTGAGTCAGCAACATCTCCTCTGACACCCAGCTACTATAGGGACCTCCGTAATTAGAATAGAGTTTTCGGGGATAGTTTGCCATAAATATTCTAAGGAGCCCGCAAAATGGTGTTGGTAATTATTTGGGCCCTTATAGTAGTGCAGTCGAAGCCCCAACTCTCTGCTCTCCGTCTTCTCAAGAAATGCCGCTGTCTCAAAAATCGACATCCAAATAACCCCAAATCGTAAACCACTCAATCCACCCCCACTTCCAACAACCCTAAACCCCAAACCCAAAGCCAGAAAACCGAATGACGAGGAGCCCATAAGATCCCGCCAGCGATCCATGGTGAGTGAGCGGCTTCCTTGCCTGGGGTTTAGGGTTTACGGTTCATGTTTTGTGTTCCGGGGACTGCGGGTTTTAGATGCGTGCTGAACCTAAAACCCTAAGCCCTGAACCCGAAAAAATGCTGGGCTCGCGGCTCGCAGAAACCACAATAGGGTTTTGGGATTCTTGGGTTGAGAGCTTGTCGGGTTTAGGCTTTATCGGGTTGACGGCTGATGAGCTCTGGCGATTCATTCTGATGCCCAACTACGTGCATTAAAGGCTGATTGTCCCTGGTTCTGCGTCTATGTACGGCCTGGTATCTCGAAGCAGGATTTTTCGCAAGGGCGATTTATTCGAGCTTCATAATGCAGGGTGTGGGGACTCAGTATAGGGGGCGTACCGACTCAGACAAGGGCTGTGGGGGTACATTACTCTGCCATGGTTATACGGGGCTCTACCTTAAGGAACCAACATGACTGACGTATGCGAGCATCTACGCATGGGGCTTGGAGGATCATGGGACTTAGTCAGTAAGGCTATAAGTACCTTACTTGGGGTTATGAACCATCATAAGTATAGCTACCTTAATTTATACTATAGGGCTTGTGTTGCTTGGAGCTTGCACTTCCCGGGATGACGGGATGAAAGTGCAAGGTTGAGGGCTTAGGGTTTAGAAGTTTAGGGTTTAGAAGTTTAGGGTTTCGGGTTTTGGGTTTAGGGCCGAATCTGAGATTTTGCCCAACAGCCCTAGAAACACCAAAAAACCAAGACAAAAATGCCCTAGGAGTCCTTGAAGAGCCCTTTGCGCCACAGGTTCTGTGGCTTCAAGGCCCCGGATGGCTCTGGCGACTGTAAAGACCCCCCCCCAGAACCGAAGCTCGAAATCGTGAAGTCAAGAAGCCCGAAAGCCAGATTTTTGGGTCATACTATGGTATGGGTTGAGGAAGGAACCCAGGGAAGAACTACCTTCAACCCCCTGATAATAGGGCCAGTATAGAATCGCTCAACACCATTCCAGGGCGCTTAGGGAGCCCTTGCAAGCTTATTGGCGCGCAGGACCGCCCCCTAAACCCTAAACCCCTAAACCCTAAACCCACACCTCCCTAAAACTAAAAGTGCTCTTGTTAGCGTGCCAAGTTGCTGTCCCTCTGGGCAGAGGACCGCTAACAAGTCGCGCAGGCGATGCTCACGGCATAGGCTTTGGCTGTGGTTTCGGTTCTTAGTGGCACAATCTCTGAGTGCTTTATGTGGGAGTTTCCGAAAATTAGGTGTACCTTATTTGCGGGCCAGGATCCCACTATTCAGGGATTAGGGCCCCCTAGCTTTATGTGTCCGTGTCATAGCCTCCCTGGGTGCCTGGGTTTAGGGTTCCGGGGTGTAGGGCTCAGGGATACAAGCTGAGGGCTCCGGCCGGGACGTTAGGCTTAGGTGATTCCACCGGTGTAGCCCTACTGTTAATGATATAAATCCTGCATTACCTTAAGGACCCTATACTATGGGAGTTTATGGTATATTCCTTATTAAGGGTAATGCAGGATTTATATCATCCACCGTAGGGCTCCGGGGCCTGAACAGGAGAGAGGGGTCGAGGATCCCTGGCGAGGAGGGCTTTGGCAGGGGTCTCTCCTCACCCAAAGGGCAGGGTGTAGTGCGCGGCTTGAGCCGTAACAGCTGCAGAAGTTGTCGGCGTGTTCGAGGTTCTTGTTCTGGAAAGTCTGGAAGATACCTATACCAGAATAGGGATATGTAGCTTGTCGCATGTATTCTGCCTTAGCTCGGCAACTTAAACTACATGCCTTAATGCAGACACCTGAGTAGTAACCACTTCAGCGCCTTGAGTATAAGGATCCCCAACCATAATCCTATGTAACGGGGAGCGGGGTCTATATTGAAACCTCAACCCTGAACCCCAAGCCCTGTATAACCCCTAAACCCCCAACCCCAAACCCGGACCCCCAAAAAAACAAAACCCCCAAACCCCAAACCCTGAAGCCTAAACCCCAAAGCCTCAAGCTAGACCCAAGAGTAACCTAGGAATATAAAGGGTGCCCTTTTTGGTTTAAATTGGGTTATAAGGGAACCCGAACCCTCAAAAAAGGGAATAAGGGCCTACTCCAGGTCCTAAGAAAAGCCCTGAACTCCAAGCCTTATAGGATCCTTAAGGGAGGGGGGTTCAAGGGGGGAGGGTACTAGGGAACCTTAGGGAGCCTTAGGGAACCTTGGGGAGTACTAGGGAGAAAAAGGAACTATTGGGTTATATACCCCCCTTGGACCCCCCTCCCTTAAGGATCCCAAAATAGGTCTCCCTAAACCGAAAGCCCCGAATCCTCAAACCCAAAGCCCCTGCATCCTGAAACCCCAAAGGCCCCAGCACTGGTCGTTTGCCAACCGAAATACGGTGGAGACTCTAGGTAAACACCTAAAGCTCTAAACCCTAAACCAAACACCTAAAGCCCTAAACATATGTCCCAAATCCTCCAAAACCTTTGCCCGCTCGTTGCAGAATTTCCTTCTCTCACGGCCTCAGGGGAAGGCAAAAGCCAACTATCAGAAAAACAAAGCGGATGTTCGGAAGCGATGCCAGCAAGTGCTTCGGAGCAATGGTGTTCGCCTGGACGTTGCCTATACCAAACCCCTTCAATGTGTCTTATCCCAGCCTGGACGGTATCCGTCTGCCTGTCCAGCGAAACTGCGCAGTCGCGCCTGGCTTCTGGGCACAGGACGCCGTTAACCCTTACAGCCCTTTCAAATGAGAGAAGCAGAAAACCGTGTCTACAGAAAACCGTGTCTAATACGAAAGCCTGTCTGGTGGAAGGCCGATCTAATGCAAGATCACGTCTGGTCAAGGTGACTTCAATCAAAAAGTAAGAGCAATGAAGTTCTTGAAGAGAGTATTCCTGTATGCATACACATGTGTGTATGTATATATATATATATATATATATGTGTGTGTGTGTGTATAAACACCTGTACATGTAATTATATATGTATGCCGTAGATTTCTCGACGGCGTGCATGTATAAGCGTATATGGATGTGCATATAGCTAGATGGATATACCTATATATATATATATATATATATATATATGTATATATATATATATATAATATGAGTTTTTGCAGCCCGAAACTGTAATCCCGTGATCAAACGAGCTGCCGAATCCGTGGTCGTAGCCAATACCTACTCCGATGCACGAACCTTAATGACCAAAAAACCCAGCAAACGAAGGAACATAACAAGAACATCAGACTCAGCTGTCGCGACTCAAGATCAAGTTGTCTCTGAGGTGGGCACAGCGCTGGGCTTCTCGGACACGCAATCGTGACAACATCAAGCACCTAAGTCACCCCGAAGGTTATTATGCAATCATACTAATTCTTGGCTCTAATGATAGAGTATATTATTATGGTAATATACCATGGAATTGTAGTATTATGGTACTGTATGATGGTCTAATATCGCATATTGTCGCATATGGTAGTATATTTTAGAAGCTGTGCGGACTCTAACCCTGAAGGAGTAGCAGTAGTCTTCGTCGTAGAAGAAGGAGTAGGAGCAGGAGCAGGAGTAACAGGAGCCGGAGCAGGAGCAGCAGCAGGAGCAGGAGGAGGAGTAGTAGTAATTAATTATGATGATCATAAGAAAGTTATAACGGAAGCGGTACTACGAGGACGACAACTGTTTCAACAGAGTCCAACTGACTCCAGCTAGCTGGTACCGCTACCACCATGAGAACCACCATGGGAACCACGACCGCCCAACATAAACAACAAAACCAGTAGCAGCAGCAGCAGCATCCCCATCCCTCAGCCACAAGCCCTGGAAAGTGCTTGCTCGGCACATTGGTCTGAAAGTTTCCCATGGCTGCGTTGGCCAGGGAAGACAACTTCGCACTCGGAGCAACCTAAACCCGATACCTGCTAGGATAGCCAGTAACCTAAGAATACAAAGGCCTCTCTTTTTGGTATTGGGTAACTTTATAAGGAACCTAGGACTACAAAAAGGGAATAAAGGGTACTACTGGGCATCCTAGCCTGCTAGGATCCCAAACCTCCAGGCCCTTTGGAAGGGCCTCAGGACCCCGAAGAATGCACTTGAGTTCAAGGCTACGCGTGATGACTTCGAACCCTTTAAACCGTACATCCCGTGCTACCTGCTGCTCGGACTTCCGCTACTAGCTGGCCGTATCTGAGAAACTAAGCTGCCGATGTTACGCCGCATGATGTTGGTTGCTTTGGGCCTTTGCAAATGCTGCGGACAACAAATTTCGAAGGCTAAGGCATACCGATGGTCTCGATGGTAGTTCCTCTTTGGGGAACTTTTCGGTTAAGCTGGATTCCAACCCGAAAACTCATTAGCCAACAATATTAAGAGCTACGATAAAAGCAATGCTTCCAGGCTCGCTCTAATTTCGGGCCTTTGACTGGAATAGGGTTTGGGGGAACTTAACAGCATGGTCTCGGAAATATGGGGCAATAACAATGACCCTAAACCCTACATCCTTAAGCATCATACTCGTGCTATCTATTCAAGCCCTACATTACTTCAGCCTTCACCCTCCATGCTAGGACCTTCCTCGGGGCTTTCTGCAAGGATCCAAAGCTTTAACTTCAGATCAAAAACCAAACAAAGCCCCTCCAAAGCAAACTCGAAACCCTAAAACCGTAAGGCCCGATCGCAACAGTAGCTGCAGGACACGGTACTCGCGGTCAAGCGAATGGCAGCAGCAGCAGCAGCAGGAGCACTGGCAGCAGTAGAAATAGCAGCAGAAGTGCATACAATTGCTGTTTTAGTCACATGGTGACTACGAATCGGGGGCAGTCACAATACCGTCGCATCCTTCCTGCACTTTCAGAAACAACGACTGCTTGCATCTTCCACCACCAATACTACCAAAACACCCTTCCAACGCAAATACAGTAATACAAGAAACAACAGCAACAGAGTCCAAAAATCACAAAACCCCAACACCCCAACCCGCAACCCCCTAAACCCTTCAAACACCCGAAAGCCCCAAAACCTTTTACAGAGCCCTGAAAGACGCACTCAAAATGAACCCGTAAAAGGAACCCTTAAAGCCTCAAAGGAAGCCCTTAAGAGGAACCGCTAAACGGAACTCTGAAAAGGAACCCTTTTTGGAATCCTTCGAGTCCTAGATTAGGGGCCTAAATTTGAATAATTATCAATACTGTTTTTCGTAGTTCCTTATTATACTTATAGCATAATGGACCCCAAAAGCCTAGTCTAAGTATTAAGGCCCCTATATGAGAGGAACCCGAAGCTAGCAAAATCCCACAGATCCCTTATCGAACCCTTGTCGGAGCCCTTATAGAATCCTTAAAGAGAACCTTTGAATAACCCGAAGTTAGCCAAATCCTTCGGAACAAGGGAGTTTAAAACTAAGGGACCCTAGACAAGTACCCTAAATTGTAGGATCGTTACTGTAAGGACCCCAAAATACCCTAAACCCAAACCCCGAAGTGAGCAAAATCCTGTGGCACAAGGCAATACCCCTTCTAGTAACCCTAACAGGACCCTGTTTAAGAACCCTTGAAAGGAACGAACACGAAGTGAGCAAAATCCTATAGATCCCGTATAGAACCCTTTCAGGATCCCTTATAGAACCCTTGAAAGGTACCCTTTGAGGAACCCGAAGCCAGCAAAATCCTATAGATCTCTTCTAGAACCCTTTAAGGATCCCTTATAGAACCCTTAAAGGACCCCTTACCGAACCCTTAAAGGGCATACGCGTAGAAGGACCCGAAGTGAGCAAAACCCTGCGGCACGAGGGGGGGCGGCACCCATCGTGATCCCTGAAGCTCCTTCTATGCGCAATCGTCTCGGGGTTTAGGGGTTTAAGGCTTAAGGGTTTAGGGTTTAAGGGTATTTTGGGGTTTAGGGTTTAGGGTTAGGGTTTGAGGGTTTAGGGTTTAAGGGTATTTTGGGGTTTAGGGTTTAAGGTTTTTTTGGCCTTAGGGCCTAGGGTTTAGGGTGTATGTCGGGTCTTAGCGTTTGGGAGTTTAGGGTTGTAGGGCTTAGGAATCAAAGCTTGGGGTGTCCGGTCGAGGCTAAAACAAGGGATTTAAGATTCTGGGGCAGGGATTCCTTAATATGAACCCGATTATGGGAACCCTAATCCCTACTAAACCTCCATAGGCTAAAACCCCTTTTGGCCTCCTATGACCGTACGGTTGATGATGACATAAATCCTGCATTACCCATAACAAGGAATATACCATAAATCCCATAGTTTAGGGTCCTTAAGGTAATGCAGGATTCATTTCATCAACAGTAGGGCTTTCAGGGTTCAGTGTTCTAAGGTGCTTGGACTTTCAGGTCTCAAGGCTCAGGGCCTCAGCGTCTTGGCGGTTTGGAGGGTTACCCAGAGCCTCCAAAACCCCTTAATTAAGGAATATACCTTAAAGTATACTAGGATCCCTAATACAATTTAAGGTATATTCCTTAATTAAGGGATATTGGAGTCTCTGGGTACGGCTGGTAACGGTTCAGGAGGCGAGGCCTTCAAGATGTGGGCTTGCGGTTTGGGGTTTAGGGTTCAGGGGGGTTTAAGGGTTTAGGGTTCAAGGGGGTTTAAGGGTTTAGGGTTCAAGGGGGCTATAGGGCTTATGGTTTAGGGCTTAGGGGTTTACGATTTAGCAGTTGAGGGCGTGCAGAATATGGGGACCTCCGTAACTGGAAGGATTTTTTGGGAGCACTTCATAGTTCAACTATGTGGCCCTTGAGCTTCAACCCTAAACCCTAGGCCCACCCTAAACCTTCAACCCCTAAGCCCTAAACCCTGAACCCTGGGCCTCAGAACCCCAAACTCCTGAACCCTAAACCCCACAAACTATGAACCCTATAATGTATAAACCCTCAAGCCTAGATACTGTAAACCCTACAATACTTCCTTAAATAGGCCTTATTGGGTCCTTATGACAGGTACTAAGGCCCCCCTCCCCATGTCAATACAAATCCTAAAGCAGCCTCCAAGTCGGGTTCTAATATCATACCCTAAATAGTAGGATCCTTCTTATAAGGACCCCCAAATATTCTGCCCTATTTTTCGGAAACTCACGTGATAAATCCCTGAAGCCTCCTTACATCCTTATGGCAGGTATTAAGGCCCCCTCCCCGCCCTCCCCCCTACCCCCCTACTAGGGGTTCTTATGTTAATCAATACAAATCCTGAAGCCTCCAAGTCGGGTTCTCGGGGTCTCCTTCGCTCGCGCCAGGTCCTCTTCGATTCGCACAACGCTCCCCTGACGAGGCCCGTTGTGTGTCTTTGCTTTAGGGTTTAGGGTTTATATAGGGGTTCCAAGTTTGTTTAGGGTTTAGGGGTTTAGGGTTTGTTTAGGGTTTAGGGGTTTAGGGTTTACAGTTTAGGGGTTTAGGGGTTTTGGATTTAGGGGTTTGGGCTTGTGGGCTTTACGTGGTTGTTGGTGGGTGAAGACGGGCTTTATGAAGCTTCGAATGGCTTGGAGGGTTTACATATAGACTAGTAGAAGACTTCATAAATTCACAGTTCGGTTTTAGGGTTCATGAAGACTAGGATTGTGGTGCGCTGTAATTTTCTGAAGGCTTTAGAAGTAGGTTTGGGGTGTAGGGGTTGTAGTAGCGCCTAAACCCTAAACCCCTAAACCCTAAACCCTAAACCCCTAAACCCTAAACCCTAAACCCCTAAACCCTAAAGATTCGGACGTTGAGGGGTTGAAGGGCTTTGGCTTCAGAGCCAAGGCCTTAGAGTCTGGAGGTTTGGGGTTCACCCTGAGGCTAAAGCCATAATATATGAGCCCTTAGAGCCTTAGGGTTAGTGGTTTTGGTATTTCCGGCTTCGGGTATCAACGACTTTCTGGCATCAAAGGCTTTTGAATTCGAAGGTTTGGCCTTCAGCATACAGGTTGCAACAGTTCAGGGCCTTTGAAGTAGTAGGCGGAGACCTAGATACCAATTAGTCGTCGGCGCAGTTGCTCTCATCGTCGTCGTGGTTGTCGTCGCCGTCCGTCGTCGACCATCCTCACCCGTCGTCGTAGCGGTCGTCCGTAGTCGAGGTCGTCGTCTTGGTCGTCTTGGTCGTCGGCGTGGTCGTCGACGACATCGTCGCTGCCGCCGTCGTCTTCGACACCAGACGGAAGGAAGTGGGAGTGGAGGTTCAATATGAGTAGTAGCAAGAGCAGCACCGGGAGGAAAAGAAGCACGAGTAGTAGCAGAAGTGGTAGTAGTGGTAGTCGTCGTCGTAGTAGTACTAGTAGTAGCAGTTCTAGTTGTAGTAGCAGTGGTGCGGCAGCAGCAGTAGCAGCAGAAAAGCCGTAGCCGTAGGCGGTAGCCGTAGCCGTAGCGGTAGCGGCAACCGCAGCGGCAGCAGCAGGAGCAGGAGCAGGACCAGGAGCAGTAGCAGTAATTAGCAGGACAGTAGCAAAACCGCATAGCAGCAGTGCTTGTTGTTGTTGCTGCTGCCACACAGGAACAGCACATATGTAATGTTAGGATCAAAGCCGCCAGAAGCCCGCCTCCACAAACGTACTTTGTTGCTGAGGCGCACGGCCAGCCTTCACTATGCGAGCCTGGGCGGGCCAAGGTCCCGTGCGCATGCTGCATATCTGTGTCTCTGTGCGTACGTGCAGGCGTGCTCTACATCGAACCTGTACCTATATGTATATATACACATATATGTAATCATATATATATATATATATGTACGTAAGTGTATATATATGTATATATGTACGTAAGTGTATGTATGTATATATATATATGTATGTATGTGCGTGTGTGTATATATATATATATATATATATATATATATATGTAAATTCACATTATACTTTGCTGTATGCATTCATACATGATGTGTGCATGCTTGAGCACATGTACGCACATATCTATATATATATATATATATGTACATGCATGCATGTGTGAACACGTGTACACAGAAAACTGTACTATACCACATTGTCCCATTCATCCATCCATACATTCATCCATCCGCGCATCCGTCAATCCATCCACACATTCATCCATCCATGCATTCATTCATTCGTTCATCCCATTCATCTATCCATCCAGCCATTCATTCGTTCATCCATCCATCCATCCATCCATCCATTCATTCGTTCAACCATTCATTCATTCGTTCAACCGTTCATTTCATTCATTCGTTCATTCCATTTCATTCCATTCCATCCCATTCCATCCTTATTTATTCATCTCAGTTCATTCATTCATTCGTTAATCCATTCATACATATTATCATACAATTACATTCACTGCAGACCTACCTACCTACGTACGCATACCTATGCCTACCTAAATAATTAATACCTACATATCTACATACCTATGTACACACACATGCATACGTACGTACGTACATGCATACATACACACACACACACACACACACACACGCGCGCGCGCGCCGTAACGTTGGGCTTTGGAATTTCGAGTGTAAGATGCAGAGCATGGGACTCACATCTAGGACTCGTGGCATAAGGACTGAAGACGATGTCAAGCATCCCAAACCCTAAAACCAAAATTTTGCCAATCGCTGGCAACTCAGTTTTTTGTGACATCAAAGCATCGATTGTCTGATGCTACCACACTTGCTCAAAGCTGTGAGGTCCAGCAGTATGATGCCCGAAAACGAATCTGAAACCCGAAACCGGGAGTCAGAACCCTACAGTCCTACAGCCTGAATCCGCAAACTCCCTGAAACCCATAAACCTTAAACACATGGGAGTTTCCAAAAATGGGAGTACCTTATTTTGGGGTCCTTATAATAGGGATCCTACTATTACGGGTCCTATATTAGGTGCCTTTTTTTGGGAAACTCCCACATCAGCTGAGATCCCCTGAGAGTCCCTGCGCGGCTCACTCGCTCCTCTCGCCGGTCTTTGCCCGTCACCTCGTAGGTCCTTGTGTTGGAGGGGTTTGTAAGGGAAGGCTTTCGGGTGTAGGGCTTCAGCATTTGGGATGTAGAGTTTAGGGATTTGGGGCCGTTGGGTTTCAAATTAGGATTGAAGGCTTTAGGTTGTTTACGGAGAGCTCTAAGAACTTTACGATTCGTTTTCGAGGCTATGATACGGGCTGCTGAACATGACTAGAAAACCCTTTGCGAGGGGTTCTTAGGCTGGGCTTTAACCCTAAACCTACTGGGGGTTTGGGAACTACGGATTCAGACTAGCGGCTTCCGGCCGAGGGCTATCAGCGTGTGTCTATTTCTCAATCGATCTATGTACCTATCAATCTACGCTACTGTTAGAGACTCACACCGTGATTGATGGTACAGCTCTGGTTGCCAGGACTGCAAATGTTGTACCATGGTGACGATGACCATTGAAATTGCACTGGTGCTTCCCGCCTTGCAAGTGAAGTAGCACCCCAAGCACTAAACCAAACCCCTAAAGCCTAAAACCCAAACACTAAGCCCTAAATACTAGGCTGCTCGGCTTGAATGCTCAACCTGCTGAGAGTATCGAGCTTGAAGATACAAGGTTAGGGTTAGGAAGATTGTCCTCAGAAGCCTCACTGAGACTAGGGACCCTAAACCCTGAACCCTAAATCCTCTGGTAGCTGAAAGAACAAGTTTACGACCTTCGATTCAACTTGCGGGTTCGGGCCCTGAGGCCCCCTGGTAAGCTAAAAGCCCCCCAATTTGGGGGGTCTGAGGTTTAGGGACTAGCCTGATGCCACTAACTCCTATCAGCCCCGAATCCCCTGGAGCCCAAAATTCGAGCTGATTCTCAGGCCTTCAAGCAACATAAGTTAATAAGCACCCTGCAGCGGCACTGCATCATTGCTATGCTATCTCATGCGTCCGTATTTGCTGAGGACGGGTCCCGGAGGATGTGGCTTTGACGATCTGTGCGGCGAACCTCATTGAGTACACCCACCCGGGACCCAGCTGAGCTGAGGGTTTGGGTTTGGGGTTCAGGGTTTCGAGTTTGGGGATTGTGGTGGTTTAGGGTTTGGGATTAAGGGTTCAAGGTTTAGGTTCAAGCCTCAGGGTGTCCAACGTAGACTCTCAACCCCTAGGCTTGTAGGATTTTGGTGGGTACTTCTCGCATGCAGTCACAGGCTGCAAGGGGCCTCCTGTTGAGGGCCTTACAAATCTATATCTAACAGACTATTCAATTACTCAGCGGTGGCAGTATCCTTTTTCCTCAAAACCCTAAACCCTGAACCCTTATAAAGGAACATGTCGATAGCAAGTTTGTCCATCGACCACAGCATGCCAACTTTCCGAACTGGACTGAGGCTTTCACCAACTTCCGCCGTCGTCGACGGCGACCTCGTCAGGGTGTTTCTCAGTTGCAGAGTTCATATACCGTTTAGGATTTAGGGTTCAAGCCCCCGAAACGTGTCGTAGCAAACACATCCACAGCCGAACCGTTCACCTGCCGAGAGCATCAGCCTCGAAAGAGTTCACATGTGAAGCCGAATCCATCCTAAACCTTATACCCTCAACTCTAAACCCTACTTGGAGGTTCATGGGTAGTTACTAAGTAGGGTGATAAGTCCCCTCATAAGGGTTATAAGTATACTTCCCTTACTTATGCCCCCACTTACAACTGCCCATGAACCTCCAAGCAAACCCCAACTCTGAACCCTAAACTCTCTCTAAAAACAGAATCAATCTACCATCTCTCAGCCCAGCACCCGGTCGTCCGGGGCATATTCGGTGCTAGCCGGGAGAATCTCCTTCCGGCTTGAGCATGCAGGGTTTAAAGTTTAGGTTCTAGGGTTTAGGCTTTAAAGCTTAGGGCTTAGGCTGTAAAGTTTAGGGTGAAGAGTGTAAGAGTTTGAGCTTTTAGGTTTAGGGTCTATATGGTAAAGGGTGTAAGGTCTAAGGCGAAGGTTTAGGGCTTACGTCGGGATGGAAGGTGACGACTCGATTACGATGAACTCCCCGCCGATGATGGAAGCTCGATAATGCGGCAGGACCGGCAGACCAAACTTCAAAGTCCTGAGATGTCCTGAGCATGTGACCAGGACTCACGTCGGTCTTGTTGCAAACCTGTACTCCAGGTTGCGCAATCTTCGACTCTCCTTGGGCCTTTCCCTTATAGATCCCCTTTAAAGGAACCCTAGAGATTCCTGTAAAGCGGCCCTAAACTACCCTAAACCCCGATCCTTGGGCCTTTTGATTGGCCTCCTCGGCTGATTTGGCCTCCGTCATCGCCGCATCTCGCTTGGCCACAGCCTCTCCGGCCTCAACTGATCAGCCAAAAAATCAGACCTCATCATCCTAAACCCCTAAACCCTGAACCCTAAACCCCTGAACCCCTGAACCCCTGAACCCCTAAACCCCTAAACCCTAAACCCTGAACCCCTAAACCCCTACACCCCTAAACCCCAAAACCCCAAAACCCTGAACCTCGTTCTGGTTTTGGTACCAGTAGGGCCTTCAGGGTCTGGGGTGTAGGGGTTTCGGGTTCGCGGTTCAGGGCCTGAAACCTAAGCCCCCAAACCCTCGACCCTAACACGCCTAAACCCTAAACCCCCTATACCCTAAACCCTAAACCCCCAAACCTTAACTCCAAACCCCTAAACCCCCAATATCTTGGCATTGTGGGTCTCTTTCAGCACCACCATGCTTCAGGTTCCGGCTCATGGGATGGGGAAAGACTTCTTTAACCTACAACACCTACTTGCTGCAAGTCCCCATCAAGCCTATTATATTATATTAGGGATTATGCATAAGAAGACTGTTCAAAGCAATGGGTATGGTACTAGCAGCTTGAGGTAGAGTGAAGTCTGATTGCAGCTTCAATTCTCAAGGTCTAGGTTTCAGGCTAACTATGGGGTTGAGGGTGGTTTGGGGTGCAGTACAAGTCAGCCGAAGCAGTACCCTGACCTTCCATGGAACAAGCATTCAAGGTTTGGGGTTAACTCCAAACAAGCTTCACGCCCGCTCTGAAATCCTTGCTTTTCTAAACCGGAAGTCATACCTGAAACGTTATCTGGAGCCCCAAACCCCAAAACAGGGTTTAACCTCGGAACTCCTACACCGCGACCTTCGCGACCTGCACTCCCTCCACAGCCCTTGTGTTTGTGCTCCTCGGCGGCGTGCGCTGCCTGATCCAATGGCCTGCGCTCTTTACTGCGCTGGGGCCGAGGGTTCTTTGAAGGGGTTTGGGGTTTAGGATTTGGGGTTTAGGTTTTAAGCTTTGTGATTTAGGGTATAAGGTTTGTCGTTCGGGGTTTCAGGTTTAGGGTTTAGGGCTTCAGGTTTAGGGTTTGGGGTGTCAGGTTTATAAGGTTCAAGGTTGAGGGTTTAGGGCTTGCAAGGCCGTGAAGCTTTAGTATTTGGGATCCAGGCTTCCGGGTCTTCGGGGCCATGGAGCTGATAGGCCTTCCTTCAAGCCTAAAAAGCTCGGGAAAAGTTCGGGGGTCCGAGGATCTAGGGTTTAGGGCCTAAGTTCAGGGGCGTGAGGATATCATAGTAGACTCATCACTACAATTATATCCTAGGTTAAGATTAACTAGGATACCCAGTAACCTAAGAACAAAAAGGCCTCTCTTTTTGGTATTGGGTAACTTTATAAGGAACCTAGGACTACAAAAAGGGAATAAGGGTACTACTGGGCATCCTAGTTAAGGTAGTCCGGCGACCTGCTGGCGACCAAGAAAGACGCCAGCACCGTTCGGTGTAGAGAGCAAGGTTCTGGCACCAGAGGCTTTGGACCTAAATCCTAAACCCTACACCCTAAATCCTAAACCATCGTAAACCTTACGACCAGGAAGAAGAAACCACAAACGGCCTTCCTGTAGTGTATTTTCGGAAGGAGACCCAGACCCCAAAAGTACCGTTGATGATATAAATCCTGCATTGCCTTAAGGACCCCAAACTATGGAATTTATGGTATATTCCTTATTATGGGTAATGCAGGAGTTATATCATCGTCAACCGTAGTACCGGAGGACCAAAGTCCACCCAAAACCCCAAGACACCGGGGCCCCCAACACGAATGCTATCCTGGGTCTTACCTAGGGTTAGTGGGGAATGGAGGAATGGGGTACAACTATAACTACTATTACTACCATTCTTCCATTCCCTAAACCCTAAACCCTAAACCGAAAACCCTTACCAAAGGTAAGGGGTGGGCCGTGCCAGCTTCGGGAACTTTCGAGTTTGGGGCTAAGGAAGTCGGGAGCCGCACAGAAGCCCCAAACACTGGCAGTTACGTGGCTAGGGCTCAGTGATGTCAGAGCTTCGGGTTGAGGGTCGAACAAGCTCAAGCTCAAGAAGGGGTTTGGGGTTAAGGGTTCTGGGGTTTGGGGTTTAGAATTTGGGGTCGGATGGACCACAGAAAAGGCGGCAAAGGTAAGTTTGCCAGGCACTTAACACTCACGAAGCCGGAATGCAACCCCGCAACTTCCATCAACATGGGCAACTCTAACACCTGGACTGTACAACGGTTTCGGGCCCCAAAACCGTCAACGCGAAATGCCAAACCCTGCCTACCAGTCGCGAGACTTCTCAGCGTAGCGGGGTTCCACTCCTGAGCTGTTGCGAGCTGTTTGCGACAGTCTCCTGGCGGATAAATGGCTATCTGGGTGGTTGTCAAAATTAAGGTCCCTTTTTGGGTCCCTATTGTAATACGGCACCTATTATTTAGGGTACCCAAAGGGGGACCTTAATCTTGATAACTACCCATCTGTCTGTAGTCTCTATTGTAGTTCCTCTTTTGGGCTACCTTACATAGGATCCTGCGCATCAAACTAGTTAAACACAAGAACAACGGAGACTTTATGGGTGTTGTGAGTTTATGAAACCCTATACCCTGAACGGTAAACCTTCAGAGTTCCAAGTCATACCCTATACCCTGAACCATTTTTGATAAGGGACTTTTTCGAATCCAGGTATTGCAGGGTTTAACAAAGGCGTTGTAAGGGTTGTAGCGATGAGCGCTATCTGCAACTGGCTTACGTTATTGGTGTATTGCTTCAGAAATCTTACCCAGACAGTCCATACGTACCAAAAACTTGCTTTTGGGGACCTAGTTCCAAAATGGTAGTATTATATCTATATATATATATATACATATATGCACACTTTCTGGGCTAAGCCCTAAACCCCAAAACCGAATGCTTGACCACCCGCAAGGCTTCAAGATCTCGAGAACCGGGGACATGAAGCACTGAACTTCCCAACTCAACAGTACAATAAGATCCAAAAGAAGCTGAACAACAAAAACAATAGCAGTGCTGGGCCCACCACAGCTACAAACGGCCAAGTGCGAAGTATTAAAACTTGCTCAACCTGCTGCAGAGTTTCGAACTGACACTGCACCGAGTTGGCTTCGCAAGTGACCTCGCAGGGCATCTGGAGAGCCCAACGCATGTTGATTCAAACATAACAACTATAGGTGTGTACATACATAGGTGCATATATATATATATACATATACATATACAACTGCTAGCCTGTATCATATACAGGAACCGCACCGGATGTGTAAATATGAATATGTCTGTGCGTGCTTGTGTGTTTGTGTGTCGATGTGTACGGGTATATGTACTTATGTGTATGTGTATGTGTATACATATGTATATGTATATGTATTTATATATATATGTGTGTGTACAACATGTGGGGCTTGTCATTCTGGTTTGTTGTGCTTTCCGTGTGGGCGCTGGGCAGGCTCTGCAATGCAACACTGGGCGTCCGGCTGTCATGCATGTTGCGTTTCAGGATTTGCGGTTCAGCGTTCAAGCTGGAGATGTCGAACAAATTCCCGATTTCGCATCCAATTTTACAAAGGATACTGACAACAAAATCGGGGATTCCCCTGTAAAGGCGTCCTGGTAGTCAGTGGGGGCTTATAAGTCAGTGTTTAAGATCTGGCTCTTCCTCTGTACGGTCAATAGCCCAACTCCTCATTAAGAAATAGTCCGCAATCGTAACAGGAAGATATACATGACTGCAGCAGTGCTCTGTAATGCAAAGTCGCTCGTCCGGTGAAGCCTCAACCTCTAACCTGTATAGAAACCACCGTATAGAACCGACTAAATCCCACATCAAGTTGTGCTGCAAAACTTAGAAGCAAAACCCTCCAAACCCCTGTCGAACTCGAAAGCCTAACCAAAGCTGCAAAACCATATCAGGAACTTTGATGGAAACACGCACACACCTTGCAAGAAAGCCCAATTGACTTCCTGAAACACCGGAATCCTTAAACCTTTATATGGGAGTTTCACAAAATAGGGGACCCTGATATAGTACCCCAAATAGTAGGATCCTTATTATAAGGACCCCAAAATATGGTACCCCCTAATTTCGGAAACTCCCATATCAAAACCATGTAGAAGCCTGAATCAGAAAACCTTGAACCCTATAAACCCTGCGCCGGTTCGCACCGAGTTCCAACCCTTCCCCGACCACCCTCAGCGACGCCTCCACTGACCAATTGCCCATGGCCTGCAATTCTACATAATCATATACAGGGAACTCCAGAAAGTTGGAATATGATTTCATGGTAGAATCCCTATAATTTACCTTAAAGGGGTTACGATAATCAGATTCCAACTTTCTGGCTTCTACTGTATACAAAGCATACAATAACTCCCATGCAAAATTTGCCCGGCCCTGAATTCGCAAACTTCGCCCCCGATTTAGAACTTCGGTCGGGGTGGGCTCGGGGTGCAGGGCCTTGAAGGCTTGGGCTGCAGGGGTTTCGGGTTTAGGGCTTGGGGTTTCGGGTTTTGGGTGGAGGGTTTAGGGTTTTGGGGTTATAGGGTTTAGGGGTTTAGGGTTTAGGGGTTCAGGGTTTAGGGTTGCAAGCGGAATGCAGCCGGTGGCACAGCACAGCTACTCGGGCCTTTTTCTGCTGTCTAGCTTGGCCATCAAAGGTGCTTCAACCAGACGCGTGTGAGGCACAACAAGCTTCAAGCTTGCACAGCCCCAGAACTTAAAACCTTTCCACTCGGCTCTTCGGATTCACACGTCACGGCGGGGTCCAATGACTTAAGTCCCATCTGTTTACGCTTACGGCCAGAAATCAACTCAGGATCGAAGACAATTCTCCATTGACCTCCTCTTCTTAGGAACTCTAGATACTGGTGGGGTTCATGCTCTTTGGTGAGGGAATTAGCCAGCTGACTGTCTCCGTTGACCCATCTGACAACAAGATTGGAAGACACCACACTTTCCTTAAGGCACAGAGTTTCGATATCAATCCTCTTTTCGGCACCCTTCAGTGTGAGCATGGTTTGTTGAAGTCGGTCATACAGGTTTTTACTGTCACTCACCATCACTCCGGGCACCTGACACACCGCATCATCACATCGCCACAAAGACACAATCCCTCCTGAAAACTCATAAGCTTGAAACCGAACGGCATACAACTCATCTTCAGCGTCTGCTGCAGCACGAGTTTCTGCAGCCCCAGAACTTTTGCAGGTCCTCTGAATCTTAGCCGACTGCCAGAACATAGGACTAATCTTTGCCAAGTCCCCTTGTAGAAGACGCTGATGTGTCCATCCAATGAACACGCCCTTGGTGGAGCTGCCATCTGGTCGGCTTCCATCAGCCGCATCAACCCAAGCAGCCAAAAGCATCTGGTCAGGTGATTGTTTGTGTATGTACATCTTCTGATGCTGAGAGAGCTTCGCCTTGCGAAGCAACTTGTTGGTGTCAACGATCTCTTGTCCCGTTCCAGTATGTATTCGGGATAACAGCATACTCACCGCGGTGCTCCACAATGGGGCCACTTGATTGGCATGCCAAGACAAAGCTCCCAAAACACTCCTGAGCTGAGACCAGTTCGTATCCTGACAAGGGCTCGGACAAGGTGTTCCAACGGGTTTTGCTGATGTGTATCTCATCAATGCTGCTGAGATATTGAGGCTGACTCAACTGAAACCCGCTATCCGTCTGTTCAATCAAGACACCGCACTGAGTGAAGGATTTTGTTTCCCACTGGCCCCATTTGAAGCGCTCCTGAATTTTCTTCCGGATTGCTTCCCATTCAGGATCATCTTGTTTTCCCCCAAAAAGGAAATCGTCAACGTGGCCACAAACCCATCCAATAGGAGTCCTATCTTTCCGAAAGAAACCCCAACAGGCAGGATCGGACAGCTGTCTCTCGCCTCCTATGCTTTCCAGAAATCTCGAAACAGAAAGAAACCACTGTATCGGGGCCTCCACCAAACCATATGCTGCCTTGGTCAGGAGCATGTGTTGTCCTCGCGGCACTCCTAGCGCATCGCAGATCTCCGGTAGTGGCTCACAGACCATAGGTCTCTCGGGACCAAAATCATCGCCTTGGAGAAAAGCGCCACTGATATCTCCCTTCTCAACCCGGAAGTCATGATTCGCACAGTTCTGCAGGAACATCTGACGTGTCGTGCGGCTCATGGTAGGACTACTCGTAGGTCTGTGCTCGTAGAGGGGATCCATGTATCCTAGAACCACAGCTCTGGCCTTTGGTTTCAGCGGATTTCCAAGACTGTCCCTTTTTAGGGGCTCTTTCTCTTGAGGGCTTTCATCAACCTTCCACGTCAATATCCAACGCATCTTCAGGGCTTGTTCCTTGGTGGGAATCAAATGTTTTGGGAGAGCTCTAAAGGCTTTAGCCACTATAAAGTTCTTCACTTCTTTCTGCTTCGCTCCTCTGAACCCTTCCAGCTCAGCCTCTGAGAGGTGGCGCTCAGAGATTTCCACGGCGTTCCTCCGAAGCTGTTTGCTGAAGAAACATCCCATGTCCCTCAAACACTCCTTGCCCTGCTTCGTGCTCGCTTGTGGTAAGGTCATGCTGAAACTCACTGCTGGCCTCTCTTCCTGACTCCAGAAAACATTTTCCTCCTGGGAAAACATACAGCTGTACTCTTCCGAGAAATGCGATTCCTCCAAAGGAGGTTGCTGGGGCAAGGCGCGACCACGGAGTGGATTACTTCGGCTTCTTTCTCTCGCTCTCGCCTCTCTGTCTTCTCTCTCGAACTCCCTCAGCAACTCCATGTCATCTTCCTCCCCTGGTTCACCCCGAGTGGGAGAAGGAGGTGGGCTTCTGCTTCTTTCTCTTCTCTGGGGAGTCTTCTTACCGACGACTCTCCTCGGCACAATCACGGAACTCTCAACCTCTCCGTCTCTCACTCCCTCTGGCATTTGCGCGGCATCATCGCACACATCTTCAAATTGGTGTGGGGGCTGCTGTTTCAAGGTTTCCGCAATGGTCCAAGGGATTTCCGCAGTATGTTGCAAAGCATGCCATGCTTCCTCTCTTGCAGTAGCAGGTCTCAGTTGTTGAGGAGTTGCCTTGACTAACTGTCCCCCTCTATACAACCACACAACATGTCCCGCGGTGAGTTGACCCTCTGAGTTGGTTCTGGTCTCTGTCGCAAGAACCCGGTAAGGACCTACGAAACCTCCACCCTTAAAATGGCGCTGCCCGTCCTGTCGCGGTGTCATCCGCCTCCACACATAGACCAGATCTCCTGGGCACACGTTCTTCATCGGTCGAGCTCCTGCAAGCTCAGCCCGTCTGAGCCTCTCCTTAGCTTGTTCTTCCAGGAAGGCCTTTTCAGCTGTTAGCATAGCCTTAAAGTCAACACCAAACTCAGCTGAAATCCCATGCTCCGTCAGAACCGGAATCTCCCGAAGTTTACTTTCTCCCAAATGACCAAATTCATCCGGAGCCCTTCCAAAAGCATGCTGAAGCGGACTGTACCCATGATATTGGTCCCTATGGTTGCCAGCCCACAAGGCTCTGTAAAAACTCTCGGAGACGCTCATTTTGGGATGTTCAGCAAGTAAGGCAGACATCATGGCTTTAGTACTCTGAATGGACCTTTCAACCAAAGACATTTGCCAGTGTGCTTCAGCTGGAATGTGGTGGAGCTCAATCTGACGATCCCTCAAATACGCATCCAACACATTACTTCTGAAACAGCCTGCCGGATCAACCCTGATTATCCTTGGTTTTCCAAAGTGGGGAAGCCAATGACCCTCAAAGAAATCCGTAAAATCCTGGGCGCTAGGGGTTCTGCTGGCATGTTGGAACAACAACCTTCCAACCCTCAACCTGCAGCCCTCATCAATCCCCATCATAAACTGCCACTTCTCACCAGTTTCAGGATGGTTCCAGGAGAAAGCATCGCATTGAAGGGTGTGCCACTTTGGAACAATTTCACTCAAGGTGGACGGACTACGAGGATCGGGACGGGTTCGTTCAGCACAAACTTCGCATTTGAAATGGTCAACACAGCGTAACACGTCCTTACTAGCCCCTCTCTTCTTTAAGCTAGCCTTCAAGTACTGATTACTACAGTGTCCTGTGGCCGTGTGAATCCTGCGGATGTTCTGGAAAATGCGCTTCCGCTCAGCCGACGGAATGTCTTGAAGTCCCTCGGGGTCATCAGGACTGAGCTCCGCCCCTGATGCCTGATCCGCTGCGAAACATGCCTCTGGTGTCTCTTGAACAGAACGAGCAACCTGAAACCAAGTATCAAGTCGTTCAACATATCTCGCAACCCTTCTACAGAACTCCTTCGTTTTTCCAAAACCCTTCCACTGATTCCATCCTACTCCACGACCCTTAGCATGTTTCCCATCACATGACAGAGACATTGTTTGAATCAGCGAGCCATCTGTGCTTGCAAGATGCCAGCCTTGGCACATCAAACCACCTTGGTAGTCCCGGAGATTATACTGACACCCCTGACTCACACCCTCATACATGTCCAGACTCTTACACAGCTCTTGGTACCAAGTCTGATTGAGGATTCCAGAGTGTTCTGGTGCCTCAAGAACACACGTGTGTCCCGCTGACGCAGCTGCCTGGAGGATCTCTGCCACTCCCTCATACTGACGATTGGCTACATCTCGCTTGGCCTGGAGTCTGAGGACCTGCTCTGGGGACCTTTGGTTAAGTCGCTGTAAAGGAGAATACGCGGAGGCCTCAAGGCTGACCCAGACTAACCTAGGTTTCACCTCCTGCATAACCCTCTTCACATACTTAACCCCTTCCGAGGTCTCCAGATCTCCACCGTTCCATGGAGAAAGCCGAACCACAGATCCCTTTCCAAACACCTTCTCAATCTCCGTACCTAGCACAGAAATCTCAGAGCTACTCACCTCAACGAGCCTCACTTTGCCACTCCTAGACTGTCAAACGAGGCAAGCATGGACGCTTCATAACTACTTGCAAGGTACTTGGCGACTCGGAAAGGAAGCTGTCTTATGTTCCCGGGAAGCAAATCACCCTCAGCTGAATCATCTGTCTCACACGTGGAATTGGAGAACTGAAGTCCTAGGTCTCCTTGGCCGACGTCTTGTAGCCGCTGCTCTCCTCCTTCTCCGCTTGAATCTTCAGCGACATCTTGAGGAGCTCCTTCAACTCCTTCACCTCCTGCTCCAACTCCCCGATCCGCTCGTCCTGGGTCGAGGTCTCGACCGGGATCATCTCCATGTCGCCCGTCATCTCCCACTCCGCTGTGGACCCTGTCGATGGGGTCCCCATCCTGGTCCTCTGGTAACTGGAACTGGACGGTCTTTCGACCGCCTCCAGTCCTCTTGTCACCTGTTGCTTCTGAGTGGCACTGAGATTCTTGGCCCATCGTGCATACCTCCTCAGACGCCAGTGGCACTCTGGCTCCTCCGACTCGGTCTTGATGCACCACTCGCTGTAACTCGGCAGAGTCGCCAGCACCTGTCCGTACGTGGCCTGGGAGTGCTTCCCAAAGCCCATGAAATTCGCTTCTGTGGAAGGCACCAGATTCTCCATCAGGTGGCGCAGCATCTTGCTTCGGAGTTGGTCCGAGTTCTGCTTCTTGTCGTAGTCCAGCGCGTACTCCTCGAGCATCTCCATTACAGCCTGCTTGGTCTTGCACTTGTTCACCAACTTGGCTGCCTCGCGCTCCGTCATGATGTGCTCCTGGTCTTCCATGAGCTCGTTCAATCGAGATGTCAGCTGGATCTTGGTCCACCCCGTGGGTGGTGTCTCTCCGTAGGAAGCAAGCTTCTTCTGAAGATCGCTCTTGGTGGCTTTGTAGGTCATTGCGAGGTACACTACGGAGGTGGGGATCACTGAACGGTTCAGGAGGTCCACTCTGTTCTCTGAGCCTAGACTGTCTAGTCAGATACAACGTTCTTCGAGGAAGTTGGAAACCTCTACGTTTCAGGGCCTGCACCTCATGCGTCTTAAGCTTCACGAAACTCTTCAAGGAGTACCCTATCAGAACCATCCTATTACCCTGCCAAGGCATGGTTTTGTGGATTCAGGAAGATCTTTCTATGAAGTGAGAACATCCTGCCTTCAACCTGAGTCCCTCCACAGTCCTGAGTCACCTTAGTCCCCGTAAACCTGCCCGATCCCTCTTCAGCCCAAACTTCTCCCCCTTGATTTGGCTTCATGATTGGGACGATCTTGTTGGAAGACCCTGGGATGTTATAGCTGTCACGGTGAAGTGGACTAAGAACATTGCACGACACACAAATGGAGGTGATGCACGTGTTGGGGTCCTCGTACCTCATGATCTGACTCAGCACTCTTGTGATCCAGGGATAGGCTCTAGTGTTGTTGGTCACTCCTACGATTCCTCCGTGGACGAATGTTCCAAAGATCACATAGGCTGGTGGAAGGTCTCCTGCACGGTGTTCTGAGGGGCTTCGACTGCTAGTGTCGGGTTGAAAAAGGTGCCACGGAACCCTGCTCACAAACTTGACAAGTTGGCCTAGAGGAGCCTGGGACCTGATGAGCTGCATAGCTTCGCTTTCATGCTGAGCCTTCTGGGCCTGAAGTTTCCTACGCTCACCACGTTCTCTAAAGTCCTGAGAAAATTGGGTCCTAGGATCACTGTCTTGTTCCATAGTCTTCTGGTCGTCACTAGTAGCCCATAACACATCTTGACTACCCCCAATGTGACCTGTTGAATCCTTACTGTACACTTCCTGAGGAGCGCCTGACTTTTCATGGTCCTTCTGGTGATCAATGGCGCATGGTGCCACCAGAAGGTGCTGTCCCTACTCGGAATCCCCAAGAGACAAAAAGGGGTGACTCCGACGTTTGGCGCCCTCATAGACATCACTCACGAGTGGAAAGAGCTGGTGGCCACTCTCTGTGGTCTCCAGTTTCGCAACGAGACTCGGATTTATGGCCCTAAAAATAGCCTCATTCCGACCAAAATCGATCACAGCCCCAAGCGACTTGAGGCTCTTCACGCTCATCAAAACAGGTTGCCCTGGGATATCGTGAAGGTGAATCTGCATCTTTCCTGTCTGGCCATCGAGGGGAAGGCTCAACATTGCAGTGCCCACGCAGTCTCTGCGTCCGTTGTTGCCAAACCTGAATGCAGGAGCCTCTCCAGGAACAATCTCTATGTTGTCCTTCTGGGTCTTTCTCCAGTTCAAGTTTGCAATGGCCTCTAAGGCCTCTTCAGACCCAAGGCTGCTCGTCGCACCGGCGTCAATGATCGCCTTTCCCTCTGCTATCACTTGCTGTAGTGCCACATAGGAGACCTCATCAGACTGACCAGCTGCCAGGACTACATCGGGAATGCCATCTGGCTCCGCAGCTCCCCGCTCCTTGGCAATGCAGTCCGCAGAAAACACGAAGTTGACACGTGTCTCTGAGTCGTTGTTCTTCAGCTCTGGGCAGTCTTGTCGTTTGTGAGGTCCGCCGCACTTGTAGCACTTGATTGGCGGCCCGGTGCCGCCCTTTCCGAAACCCTTTCCTCCCTTTCCGGAAGGATAGAAGTTCCTGTTCCTTCTCATCTGGGCTTGACGTTCACGCGCGTCCTTCAAGGTCCGTTTGGCTTCGTGAACTGCAGCATAGGCCTCTTGAGCATCGTCCTCCAAGGCCTGGTACGCGTAGGAGTCCTCCTCAGTCTCCCACTCGATGGACTCGTAGGTCTCGGGCTCGTCATCCTCTGCTAGCATAGCTGCTTCCTCCATGGAGAACATCGCGGCATGTCGTGACCCGTCTCTCTTCTTCAGCTCATCATCTGGCCACGTCAACTTCAAGGCCTCCTTGACCTTCGCCGTTGTGAACCGATTCTTGAGGTTCGCCACTATCACTGCCTTCTCCGTGGAGTCCAAACCCGATCTCTGCAGGAGAAGCCATGCGATCACGAAGTCAGGCAAGAACCGATCTGCCTGAGCTGATGCGGCTTCTGACGCATCCCACGTCGCGTGGCTTGCGGCTCCTTGGCGGGAGGAGCCATGCCACGACCAGGGCTCATAGGTGTCCTGGTGCCACCAGGAGTTGCTCCACCATCCCGGCCACTCCTGTTGCGACTCCCGGTCCTCGGCCTCTTCGTGATCCTCGCCTGTAGCTGGTGTGTCCGGCTCTTCGACATTCTCGTCGTCATCATTCGCCTGGTCCCCTGCCTCGGAAGCTCCTCGCCTGGACGCTGACCTACTCGGGGTCCGCCTTGACCACGAGCGGGGAAGTCCTGTACGGTCTCCTGCGGGGCCGTATTCTTGAATGGCCTCCGCCAGGGTCCTCTTTGCTTCCAGAAGCGCCTCGTCATGGCGAACTATCCAAGCCGCCATTCCTTCTCCACGTCTGCGCTTTATGCCGTAGAAGAAACGAGACATGGTCCTTCCTGACTCCGCCAGCGTGGGCGATCTCACCTGCTTCTTCAAGTAGTCGAGGAGCTGCGAAGCACCTTGATCGTGAGAAACCCAGCCCGGAGCCATGTGTTCCACGGCTAACTTGGCGCTTCCTTCGAGCGCCGCCTGTAGCCGTGGCCCAACCAAACATCTCTTCTTCCACTCCACTGTCTCGGCATAAACAAGGGCAGCACGTCTGTACGGAACGAATAACTCAGGGGACCCATCATAGATGGGAATGCCGTCTTTGTTGTAGCGCAGTTCTGTCATCTTCTTGGGCTCTCAGGAACTCGCCGTTCCCACACACACACGACAGTTAGCTTTGTATCCCAAAGGCACAAAGGAACCGGTCAAGATTCTCCAATCTCAACCGGCTCCGCTACCATGCAAGCGGAATGCAGCCGGTGGCACAGCACAGCTACTCGGGCCTTTTTCTGCTGTCTAGCTTGGCCATCAAAGGTGCTTCAACCAGACGCGTGTGAGGCACAACAAGCTTCAAGCTTGCAAGGGTTTAGGGGTTCAGGGTTTAGGGTTCAGGGTTTGGGGGTTTAGGGTTTAACCCTACAGGAAACGAGCCTCCGAGCCCTCACAGCTCTCACAACCCCTAGAAACCGGAAGAGTGCCCGAACAACACCCAGACAGCACTAAACCCTAAACCCTAAACCCTCTAAACCCCCCTAAACCCCAATCCGGACTAAACTCTAAAGGTTCACCAGAGGGCTTCGATTTGTGGAGCTTGCCCTGGTAATGCTGGTGCTACGGCACACCCCCTAAACACTTAAATCCTAAGTCAGACCCGAAACCTGAACCCTAACCCCTAAACCCCTAAACCCTAACCCCCTAAACCCTAAACCCCTAAACCCTATACCCTAAACCCAGGCTTTAGCTCTCCAGGGTTGCTGCATAATGACAATGTCCGCGTGACCCCCAACTTTCATGCCCAAGCCCTATAGACCCTGCCAAAAGACGTTTGGGTAGTTCTTTAAAGAAAATGGTCCCTGTTGAAGCCCTGTTTATACATGTGCCGTACTATGTGGGGGGTCTCAAAAAGACTCTACTTTAGAGAACTACCCATACAAGTGCAAAACAAATTCCCGGAATCCTACCGCCCTAAACGAAAAACCGAAGAAAGCTGTTCTGGGCATTCCGCTTTGGGATCGTTAGCTATTTATACTTTTCAAGACCGTCCCGTCTACAAGGTTTAAGGCTTCGGGTTAACACCCGCCGATCCTTGAAAAGTGGGCTTAGGGTTTAGGGTTTCGTGGGTCCTGACTATAGCTCCGCCTAATACCAAAACCATGGTAACGACTCATAGGGCTGCTGCTGAAGGCAGCTAGAATGAAGGAACGCCGAAAAGCCACCCTCCCCCGTACTATGCAGAACCCTCAACCCTAAACCCTAAACCCTCAACCCTAAACCCTCAACCCCCAAACCGTAAACCCTTCCACACCCTGGCCCTGAAATCTGTGAGGGCAAACCTCGCCAGGGGTGTAGGCAGTGATGGTGCCCTCTTCACCCAAGCACTCCAGCATTTCCTCATGAAGGCTTTTGGGGGCTTGAAACCCTAATTACCCTTAATCCTCGGATAGAGGGGCTTTGATACTTAGAATTTGGTTTGGGGAGTACAGTTTAGATTGGAACAATACCATACATAATAGTACCTGCTCAAGCTTCCATATTAGACCCTAAAGCCCTGAGGTTTCTAGTTTCAGAAGCTCCTCTGGTGGGCCTTTAGGACTTAGGCATGTAGAAACTCTTCCATACTTACATACGTACATACTGACAGATTTGCTTAATTGCTTGCTTATTTGCTTACTCACTTACTTACTTGCTTGCTTACTTACGTACAAACTTCAACTAAAAGCCGAAAACCCCCAATCCTAACATTTAAGCCTAAACCCTCTCCTCATCCCATCCTCCGTAGCCTTCCTGGAGACGAGCCACCTTTGAACAAGAAACGAAGCTCGGGACTGTAGGGGTTTGGGGCTTGGGGTTTGGAGTCTGGGGTTTACGGTTTGGGGTGTAGGGTTTTTGGAGCTTCGGGTGTGGAGTCCAGGGTTTACGGTTTGGGGTGGAGGGTTTCGAGCTTCGGGTTTGGAGTCTAGGACTCATAGGGTTTAGGGTTTCGGGTTTGGAGATAGGGGTAGAGTTTGGGCTTCGGGGGTTTAGGGTGTAGAGAGGGTTGAGACGTTCTGGCCTTGCTACGCCTTGTGAAAAGTCTGCTGTGTAGGGTTCAAGCAGAAATCGGATGTTGTGTTTTATGTTTCTTGCTGGCACAAGTGGCCCTTAGGAGGTTCGGTCACACGTCAAATTTCAGGTAGCCCCTAAGCCCAGAAACCTAAACCCTAGCCAAGTCTTGCTGGTAAAGGAAATGTTTGTTCAGTTCTTGAGACTTAAACTGTTGTACGAAAGTCGACAGAACGAAACCCCATACAATCCTGAAAG